GAGGAGGAAGACCGCACGTGCGACCATTCATGTATCATTATGACGCGTGTCCGAATAGAACTGGTTCCAGGTGTGGTCAGGTGCACCACGTTGTTCCCGTTTTCGTAAGCCGTTCCTGTATTTGCTGAGGGAGTGTTCGATAGCACCATGAACATATCTAGACAGACTATACAATTTTACATAGGCATGTTCGTGGCAGCACCCACGCGTTCGCGGGTGTGACACTAGCTGCCCGAGGGGAAAGCATAACAACCATGCATGTAGTACACGCAGTCTCTAAAACATCCACCGTTCCGCTAATCCGTGGCATTAGCAGACATTTGGTTGTACGCGTGGTTTCATACGCGTATTTTTTTGTGGCCTATACACCTCAAATTCCTGAGTTTATAGGTTTATTGTTATATACTGTAGCGAACACCCACTCCCTCTTTTCCAAGTTCGTTGAATGGTCCATTTCTCACAACAAAATGCTGTTGAGCGTAATAATCTAAGACGTCGGTCGTTGTTATGCGAAGGATACTGTACTCGATAGTCCGGTAGCTATGGCGACGATGACGTACGCAAAACCTCTACTTTGAATCATTACTGATATTTAACACGATTCTAAAAAGGTGGTAATGAGCAATTTAATTTTGTGCACTCGCGTACGTACCTGCGGAGTTAATGGTAGCTGTAGTGAAGCTCTAGAACTATAGCCCTTCGCTCCGCCGCAGGGCTATTCAACTATGTTGAAAATTGGCAACGAAACTGCTCCCACGAGAAACGGCCCACAGAACGCAAAATGATCGGGCTTATTTATCTACATTGACCTGTAATCCGCCTGTGGCGGAACGAAGGGCTATAGTTCTAGAGCCATAGTGAAGCGACACTATAGAATAAGCGTGGCATAGCCGATGAAGGCAGCAAGTTGTAGACAATGGAAACTCCTCGATGTTAGTCAATGTTAATATATTTATTTGGTACGGGATAGCGCATGCCAGGCAGCAGCATTTGCACTCGTGTTACAGTTAATGCAAGTCTAGCTTAGTGTAATAATTTGCCACGTTTGTAATTAAAATTTCTGGTGCGTACGTACGTTATCCGTTATAGAGCAATAAGTTTTGTTCTAATGATAGGAGAGTTCAGTGTGTACTTTTCTAATACAATGAAATTCCCGTAGGTAAACTGGATATCGGTGTGCTTGTTTCATTAAATGCTCTGTCTTCTTGTCTTGTTCATATATACTAGTATTCATGCGGCTTACGTACCGAGACATCATTGGTAGCTGAATTATTAAAACAATAAATCACTAAGAAAATAATTGCCAGTTTCCTGTTTGACAACCACGTATAGGTACTTTTATATTAACTCTGCTAATGATGGTAGAGATTTCACAGACAATGGCGTTACTGCTACACCACCTTGAACTGACATCGCTATCTACTTCCGTATATTATTCCTCGGAGGCGTTGACACCATTGGATCTGTTGCATGCCATTAATTATTTATGAGCTGCCTAAAACTAAACCTTCAGGGCGTTACTGGTAATGTTGTTGTATGTGCCGTTGTTATATTTGTCTTCATTGTTGTAGTTGCTTCCACCTAACAGCAAAATGTTAGAAAAATGCGCAATGCAAGGCGTACTAAACATTCACTGCTGCTGTCAACGAATGTTGACTGAAACAGCGTCTTTTATTTATTATTGAATTTTTTCAAGATGATTCCGTAAAAGCGTCGCGCGATGGCGCGACCTCGCCAGGCGGATTGTCGTGGAACCTAGCGGGTGGTGTGACTGTAAGAAGAGATCATGATGAAATAGCTTTCGAAATCGCGTGCTGTAGAAGTTCAGATTGTGTGCTGTGTTTGTTTCGGTTTCTGACATTTACCTGACTCGGGCTAGCTTGGAGATTTGTTTTCCGTTGATTGATTGACTATATAACTGTAATTCTGGGCATGCTGCATTAAAGTCAAATATCACGCAATAAATATATAGCAATTTTGAAACCAGTTGATTAGGTAATATAATGAATCTATAATATAGATCTATGTGTTTAGATATATGTGTATAATCTATATTGTACACTCCTGATAATATCGTGGCGATATAATATATCATCTGCGCCCTCTTGCTCGCACGCAGACACACGTGCGCGTGCGACTTCTATCTTTCTCACCATATCTCTCTGTGTCACTCTGGTTCCCATGCCGTTCGCTAATAGCTCTGTTTAGTGGCCAGAGCTCAGCCCATTATATTAGGTCTAATGCTAGTAAGGAACACGGTGATAGATTTCTACGAGCCGCTGCTCGTGGCAATAAAACCACGCACGCTCTGACAGCGCGGCGCACTCGCATTTCGATCAATGAATAACTGAGCTGCTGATGGACGTTACGACCGCATTGTCTGTCTCGCAAATTAAACTCGTTCGGGTTTGCTGTCGAACAATTTAATTTCAACTCAACTTTCGGCAGTTACCCAATAACCTTATGGCCTAGATAGAGAGACATTTGCAGTCTTAAGAAGCTCGTGGCAGGCACATCTTTGTGACAGTCACACCGACAGCTAGACGGCTGCCACGCTGCTGTGGTTTACCTTGCGTGAACAGACATGCGGTTGTTGGCGCGGTCCAGTTCGCACCGGTGCGATAAATGGAATCATTGTTTGGCACGGAAACAAAGAAGACTGACATAAGAAGTGTGTTTTTATCTCAATTAGTCGAACAACGGGTGCGTCAAACATAGCAAACATAGCCTCAGTTGTGAGTGCAGGACAATGCTTTCCGAGACTGACGCTCGCAGTGTTCGCTATGCGGCGCTCAGGTAGCTCGTGCTACGTGTGGTGGTGGTCTATACGAGATCATCGCGTGTGTGTTGATGTTTGTATGCAAACTCCTCAGCATCACTTTCTGATGTGCTGCTGCCCGGTTAACAAGCTAACATCGTGAGGTGTTCCCGAACAGAGGGAAGGATTGCATGTATGCTTGTCTAGAGGCGAAGAGTGCAAACGTAAATGCACTATTTCTACATCACGCCCTGCATGCAGCGAATGACATCCAGGAATCTCTTAAGTGATTCTATAAATGTGGATACATCTGGGTCCGCACCAATTCAAGAAGATGCAACAATTTGCACCAATTCAAATAGATGTACTTAATATCGTTCCTGAACGATTCTAGTTTACTTCGCTAAAGCTCGTGGTTTAGTAGCTTTTACAGTGCATGGAGTAACCTAAGAAGGAATTAATGGTGATTTAATGAAGCGCCATGGTTTGTTTTTGCAGGCTGTAGCTGCATGAGTTAGAAAAGCCATCTGCACTAGTGAGACCAGACTGTGATATTCCTCAGCGCAAACCCCCTCAGGAGTTGCATCTGCCGGTACTTGCCACCTAGACTGCACGCCCTGTCTGGCTGTAAGAAGATCCAGATGCAGAATTCCACTGACGTCTCCGAAGATGCTTGGAGCGCGCATTAATAAGGTGGTCGGTAAACTGACACACTGACTGGACTCCTGCTCGCCTGGGATGAGAAACCGAAGATAAAACACGATTCGCGAATCTCATCTTCAATTGATTGCGTCTCGTGTGGTCTAATTGCCAATAAGGCGGTGGACATCGCATGTACTGACGCCTAGTATACAGACGTAACTCCTTCTGTCACCGTCTCAAAGTAGAGGTTAAAGTGCGAGCAACAGGAGACGAAGTTGATCGCGCACCTCTGCTGGGAATTGGTTCGTGAGTGAGTGTGTAGATGCAGCTGTCACAGGCTACAGAAGCAACCTGACTCTGGCGTCACCTGAAAAGTACTACCTGGTCTCGGGATGTTTGCAATGGTAAGTTAGTTTTTGCTCCGCTAGTTTCTCGTAAAGGCCCCCGCACACGGTGAGATTCGTGCTGAGCACGGAACGCAAGTTTCGTGCTCAGCACGAATCTCACTGTGTGCGGGGTCGATTTATGTGAGTTTTCGGTCTCGCGAAGCGACGAGGAAAATATCTGTTGTGTTTGATAATTTTGGTCTAGCGAGGCTGAAAACTCAGCATGTGTGGGGATGTGAGATTTCTGCTGAGCACGAAACTCACGATCCGTGCTCAGCACGAATCTCACCGTGTGCGGGGGCCTTTAAGCTCCCTTATTGTGAAAAACGATCACTGAACTGTTATGTGATAGGCATGCCTACGTGAGGTATTTATTATTAGCTCTTTGTGTTATGCGGCAAAGACTCGACTTCGTTCGGAGATATCTAGTTTTTGCCCGTTCAAATAATGTTACGTCTAGTCATTGCTCATCCGTTGAAAAATGACTAGCTGGTGGTGTCCTGGTCAAATATTATTGTCGGTTTATCAACCGAAGTTAAATATGCAAGGGAGATATTATATCTAAAAATTGCGTGAGCGTTATTTGCTTGCACCGAAAAGTACAATTACGTGTGTACGACCGTGTTCAAACTAGACCGTCGATTATATTTTTAACGGAGCCCCGTATAGGATCAAGTGGAGACAGTAATAGAATACGCGACACGATTTTTTTACCAAACTTATTAGGCTATTGTAATTCAGTCATGTTAGCCTCGGCTTCTCCTGCGATCTCTGATGTTTACCCTGTCAACATCGAACCTTTGGAAGTTGGCATCGCGTCGTGGCGTATCGCCTTACCTGTCTCGCGTGTATGCTCTGCCAAGCCCTTGCGTCGTTCTCTGCTCTCGGCTAGTTGCGCACATACACCTTACACGTATGGACTATGGAACAGAACGCACGCTATTGCGCATTCAGTTTGGAGCACAGTCAGTGCTCAGTCGTTAGCGAAGATTTACTGACATATGCATCGCCGGTTCGCGTGCGCTAGCAGTCCTCGCCCACGCGCCGAGAGAGTAGCCTTCAAACCGAGAGAATATTTAGCATAAGAGAGCAGCCTCCCACGGCACCGGCCGTGGCAGGATGGCGTCTCTATCCGAGGAGCCCCTCCCGGAGGCCCGAGGAGGCTGGAGGAGGCCCTCCCTCAGGGATATCTGGATGAACATTACGCGACAGGATCCAGACAGGGCCTCGGTCATGTCCTATTTTCTGCTGCAGACGCAAGGCGGAGAAGGAGAGACGAGCGAGAAGCCAACGTCCCTCGCTGATAGCTGCACCAACAACAATAAGGTATGGGGCTCACACGCACGCGCGCTGCGCCCGTGTGTCTCCGTGTCCCGAGTGTGTCTCATTTCGTCTACTCCCATTTCGTCTAATCTCAGACTGGTTAATAACGGCATTTCGGCTACTTCTCATTTCGTCTACTCCCATTTCGTCTAGATCTCAGACTGGTTAATAGTGCCGTTTCGTCTACTTTTATCTACGTAGTCAGTTTTTGGTCTACTCTTTGTATATTGGTACTGTGGTATATTCTATATTTCTGTGGTGTGCTCTTGGTATATTTGGATCTACTTTGCCAGATTAACACAGAATAACACAATTCAAACATTGATTACATCAGAAGTAGATAATAGGGATTACTAATTCCCTATTATCTACTTCTGATTACATCTCCCAGCCACCGGCTTAAGGATGACTCGAAATGTCACGCGGAATACGACAAGTGTGTTGCGGAAGTGCGAGCGTGCGGGTACCACTGATGTTGTCCATCAAAAAATCAAAATGATCAATACACCATACGCTCTTGCGCTGCACACAATAGTAGAAAAGATGTTAGGTTTCACGATATTCAGTTGTTAATATTTGAAAAAAGAATAATATACACTAGTGCGTTCATCTTTATAGATTCTATAAAAATGAAAGCGCTAGTGTACATGTATAACGGAATGTCGGATTCTTCTTTTTTCATATATATATATATATATATATATATATATATATATATATATATATATTACTAAGAGCTAATAATATAGAGGTATTATTAGCTCTTGATATTACATATACAATGAATATATATATAATAATATATATATATATATATTGCTGCACGTATATACGTCCGCAACACACCTCCCGCATGTCGCATTACTGGGATATCTTGATTGATTTTGATTTTGATTTTATTGAGTGTACCGTATTCATATTGTGTATATCGTACAGACAGGTCTAAAGACGTTTTTGGCCGATCGTTATACATACTCGCCTCTTTATATCAAAGTACAAGTGTTGCACAATTGTCCATGATATGATGTGTGAGGGGTATAAGGTAAAAAAAATTATCGATGGGGAAGGCTATGGGTCTGGTCAGCGTAGACTGCACGCGTACATGTGTGGCCGCTCGGTGTTATGTCATACACGCGCAGTGTCCGCTCATCGGTGGGTCGTCTTTCAGGAGGAGATTCCGGCGTTGGCTGGCGCACAGGCCGCAGGAGACTGCGCCGTCGTCGTCGATCCTATCAGCCCGGAAGCCGAGCAGCTTCTTACAAAGCTCAATAAAGCTAACAGGTAAGATCTTCCTCCCCAGCTTCCCTCACGAGAGTGTCTGTGAGTGTGAGGGAGTTGCGGGCTAGCTCGCTGGAGCGTCGCCAGAACGTCGCTTGGCACTCTTTAATGATTTTGCACTACGCGGCGCGCAGGGAACGGCCCTATATTTACAAACGCTTTGTGTGTGTGGGTGCGTGTGTCTGTCCGTGTGTTTGTGTTCACAAGTTGTTAGCGCGTTGACTAGCATGGCACCAGTTCACCCAGCCTTAAGCAGCATACGGCCCCTGTCTCGACCCAGCTGCAGATCACGGTTGCGACCTTGTTTTACAGCAATTTCTCTCTCGTTAGCCATGTGGGTTAATCGCTGAAGGGCAAGGGAATCTGTTACGCAGATTCGGCTGCGTAAGAGAGCAGCGGTTCAGTGAACCCCGGGTTCGATCTAGCTGCAGCGTAGCTGCTGCTGCCGCGCTGTAAGCATGGCTGCACTGTAGCTGTGGTTGTAGTGTAACCATGGCCACAGTGTAGCTGCTGCTGCCGCGCTGTAAGCATGGCTGCACTGTAGCTGTGGTTGTAGTGTAACCATGGCCACAGTGTAGCTGCTGCTGCCGCGCTGTAAGCATGGCTGCACTGTAGCTGTGGTTGTAGTGTAACCATGGCCACAGTGTAGCTGCTGCTGCCGCGCTGTAAGCATGGCTGCACTGTAGCTGACCCGGTGGACTTTGCCGGCCATCATTGGATTTGACCTCTCACGTCCTCAGCAAGGTCAAATCTGACTTCCGCTCCACATCTTTAATCATAAACATCAATGGTTATATACTAACTATGCTAGAACTTTCCATGCTTTTCTCATAAAAATGCACAATTGTTGTGGTTATCTGCTGCACTAGAAGTTTAGAATCGAGTACAACATGTATTGAACCGCTGTTAGCGAGAGCATTGTGCTTATTTGCATAGAGGGAGCTGATCAATATTATTGGCTGGGAAACCCAGCAGACGGCGCGGGGCGCGCGGGCGCCGCCCCCGCGCGCCCGCCTGCCCCGCCGGCCGCCGCCGCCCGCCCCCGCCGCCCCCCGCGGCCGGCGGCCGCCCCCCGCCCCCCTCCCGCCGCCCCCGCCCCGGGCTATGAAGGCATTAAAGGCATACATACGACATTGATTAATACAATTGACCGAAATGCTACAGTAACTGGTCACTTCTGTATTAATTAAGGCTACATTACGCTTATAGTCAAACGCGTATTAGTTTGCAATATCACCTGCTAAATTACTAAGAAATGGCAGACATGCCAACCCATTACGATTTGGGCGTAATTATTACGAATTTTGTGTTTAAATTTACGCCATTACGGCCTATAGTCATCCTTATTACGACTTTTAGTAAATTTCAATAAATTTTAAATTTTAAGTAAAAAAAAAATAATAAAACTTTTTTTAATTTCTTAAATAAATTTCTCAGTGATGTAGACACTGACAGAGGTTTCTGTGTGTGTTTGTGTTAACAGAGAACGAGATCTGTTTGAATGTTTTTGTGAACAGTTATTCTAGTCAGTGTCACTTAAATTGGATCAGGCAGAGAACTGTGAATACTTGTGAAGAGTTTTGTAGTAACGATTACACTGTACATTGTATGTCATTATTCTCCAGCAGGACTTTGTCAATTATTTCGTCAGCAGATCTAGAGAACTGACACATTTTTGTGAAAGTGTTTTGTAAGTACATGTATAGTCATTTTTTTGTTTAGGCAAGATCTGAGATATTTTGTGTCACTATGTAAATCACTCTTGAGTGCAATAGAAAGATAAACATAATCAGGGCTATCCTGATCGCATTAATGTTGCCTATGATTGTGCGGTGTTAATGCAGCAAAGTTTACCTGTAATAAAATCTTA